TCTGCATTCTGCAGTGGCGCAGAATTCTACCAGGAGTAAAAATTTGTGTAGAAGAGCTGCAAGAAAGCATGGAGACAGCTGTGTGAGAGAAGTGGACAAAATGAGCCCCAAAGCTGGCAACACTGGCAGAACACAGTGACAGCAGTATGTGAAGGCTGCAGTAGCTGAATCTAGTGCCTATCTAGACAAAGGCAGAGTAATATCATAGAATCATAGACTTTAAGGCCAGAAGGGGGGAAACATTCAGAAAAAAAGGGATAAACCAAAGAATCTATGAAAGAAAGAAAGCCATCTCAGCAAAAAAATATTATTTTAACGGGAAAAATAAATAAAGCCAAAAAAAGATTAGAGGATGACTATTGTCAGTCGTCTATGGGGAGCACAATGAAAAAGTGACCAGAAAAAGTGAAACCAGTGAAGAAGAAACTGCATGCCACAAGATGTCTGGACATGTTCGCTCCTTAACAAACTTCATGCTCTTTCAGATTCATCTCCCCTAGTACATGTTTCCATAGATCTAGTATGAAATATTAATGGGGAGCAAGACATTGATAGGAAATTATACTCAGTCTGCTTCTGGATATTGCAAATAAAGAGGGGGGGAAATGAGTAACATGAAGCTAGGATAAGAAAAATGTTTCATATGAAACTTCAAAGTTTCTCTTTAAGACTGCTTGCCTAAATTATTCTTGTTTCACAAGTGAACCTTTTCAGGTAATGTGCACCTCACTTCAGTTTGAAAGATGTTATTGTACACCCACAGTATTATTTTATAATATATGTACGCTATATGCTCTGGAAACTTAGGAGTGAGAGCAAGCTAAAAAAAGCAGAATTGTCCTTTCCCCTCTCTTCCACAAGCAATCAAATTTACTTGTCAAATAAGACTGATCATAGAACATATTTTGTTAACTTCTAAATGTGTAACATTTCAGCTTCACTGTAATATGAACAGGCTGTAGTCATAAATGACTAACCGTTAATTCAAAGAAAAGGAAGGGTTCCATTACAGCTGCAAGAAAGAGCTGGATGTAAGTGTGTATGTATTCTACCAAATTAAAGCCAAGTTTGTTATCCATCTGCAGCATAATCAGAAGGAAGTGTCATGCTTCTCGCTGCAAAGGCAAAAAGAGATCAAACACTTGCACAAAGGGTGCGAGAGAGGCAACACCTCAACTCTCAGAAGTGAGACTATGCCTGCTGTATATGTGCACTTGAGATATTTCTTTTCTGGTGCAGCATCCTGCCAGGGACTTCATTTGGACAAACAGTAATGAATCCTACTCTTAGGACTTATAAGTATACCATCTGCAAGCCCAGCTGAGACACAGAACAGCAAAGGAAAGCTACAAAAATAGCAAGAGTGATAGGATGACGGACCTGAAGATAATGTAAAGAAACTCCCCTGAAAGTATATTATTTCACTTGGAGCCAACCCTTTATGGAAAGTTAGAGGAAAATTTAGAATGTCTCAGACTGGACATGAAATTGATGAGAACAGATGAGGTAACTAGGAAGACATCAGATTTAGTCAGCAAGTATAAAGATTTTGAAATCAACTTATTTTTATAGATTCAGAGAATGATTGAGGTAAATCTGAAATCCTGGCTTCATATTATGGAGTTAAACAGCTTATTGGACCAAGCATGTATCACCAAATTAATGGATATTGCTGAGGAAGACGTGCAATAGAAAAGTAGGGTATATTCTTTAGTCATAGCTTGGCATGGAATTTGACTTACACCTGTTTGAGACTTTCGTCTTGGTCTCTCTCACAATTATTTATCGAATTTCAAGAAACATTCAAAAGAAATGCATTGTCATGATAAGCTGAGATGGCTCTCAACCAGACCTTTACATGATCTTCTTTCATATCCCACGGAGTCTTGTATTCGCGCTAGAGACTGATCACATTCATGACAACTTCTTGAATTCTGAGATTTTCCTTACATTTTAAAGTATACTTTGTTGAGATGTTTTGGGATCCACTATCTATATAAAATCAGTGGATTTCAAGTTTAGTGAGAGCTATTATATTTAAACTCATTGAAGCTAAAGCACAGCAATGGACATTGTGTCAGTGAAATTAAATTCCAGCTTGAAAAGAAATTTTACTGCTTTAAATCTAGTTAACATGGAGTCTGCAATGAGAGTAAAATGCCAGCTTTTTTATGGGTCAACTTATAGAAATTCAGTTTTTCCAGGATAGGCGTCACTCTCATAATAGTGAAGTGCTTGTAAAACCATATGTTCTATAGCTGACAGCTGCAAGAAATACAGGCCTTTTTAAAGCAACAGAGAGTCCTATGGCACCTTTAAGACTAACAGATGTATTGGAGCATAAGCTTTCGTGGGTGAATGCCCACTTCGCCGGATGCCTTTTTAAAGCTCTCACTTGGCACAACAATAGTTCACCTTTCAAAAGTGTCTAAGGTAACACTGCACAAATAGCATGCTTGACAGCTTCTATTCAACAAACATGAACTTAGTACAGTAGACATGTTTCAGGTCAGCAATGAAATGCATTAAACGGAGTTCTGTGGAGATGTTTTCCCACACTGCCCAATTCAAATTATCACTTTTAAGAGTATTGAATTCAGCTACATAGAAGCTTACACTCATGGCAATTTAGTTAAGTATTGGCCAGAGTTTTCAGTGACTCAGTCACTGAGGGTGAAGTCAGTGAAATCTGAAATTCTAAAGTAAGATATTTCAATACATTATTTTAAAGTTTAGATAAAAAACATCATTTCCTTATGACTGAACTGTCTGTGATAGACATTTTCTCTTCATAGCGGAAATACTAGAGTGTGCAAACACCTCTCTTTTCATAATTATGCACAAAGCTGAAAGAAACAATTAAGTCCTTCTTCACCCAAGGAGAAATTGCCTTTCAATCAAACCGAGAACACATTCTGAAAAAAATATAATCCTTTGCATCAACTTATTACCACTACTCTTAGTCCTTTAGTAGCTTAAATAGGCAATGAACCCGTTCAAATCACTGTTGCCAAGGAGTTCAAGTAGAAGAGCATATTCAAATCAAGTCCTTTCTAAAGCTCATGGACAGTTTTATTAGACATATTGTGCCAACCTATACACAACATAAAATTATAAGAGGAAAGCAGATTAACAATAATTCCAACAATGAAAGGAATACAACAGGATTCTCTGGTCAAAGCTTATTAGCCAAATCAGTTTACACACCACTAGGCAGAACAAACCGAACTCATTTTCTTCTCTCTCACCCCTTTCACCTGCATGCTATTTACAGTATTTTCTTAGGTGATTACAAAATCCAGACATTAGGATTCTGCAGTGTCTAAATAAAAATGTGCTTTGGTTTTACTTCTACTTTCCCATTAAATGTGAGCAGCTATCATTTTATTGGCAACTTCCTTTGATATTGCTGCAGTTGATATGGAGAGGAACTCCCTAACCTGGTTTTAGTTATTAGGAACCTGGTTAGAATCCTGCTTGCTTTTAATTAACTTGGCTGAGGAAAACTGTATGCCCATGCAATACCTCAGACTACTCCAAGATCATTTAAACTGCACAGACAAATGAGGCTGCAGAATTTGGAGGCAATGCAGAGAAGATACCCTGGACACTCCATTCCAATTTAAGAACTTGCAGCTATTCTAGGCAAGGCTCCCTCATGATAATTCAAGAGTTTAGAGAGAGCACAGGAGCCGAAGATTTAAAGAGAGCATACTGTGGTCAAGTAGTACTAAGTGACAACTTGAGTAACAGATTCCAGTGGACTAGGACTTTAAACTGATGAGCAGTGACACAAATGAAATGAAGTTGGGGCAAATGGCTGTCTTTAATAGCAATTATCTGTTCCTACATACAATATAAAGGCAAAACTTGTATGGAAATTAATGAAGTGTGTCCTTTAGTACTGGAAGTTATCCTCTAAAGGGCTGCTAGAGAAATTGGGCTATCTAGATTGTGAATGAAAACTAATCTCTTGTGTTTAATGAGCTAAATTATGGAGGACATGGGTCACATTACTTAATAAGTAGTTTGGGATGATATTGCCCACAGAATTTTTCAAGTTCCCATGAGGGCAGAGTTAGAGCTATGATAGTGTCAAAG